AAGAAATATAGTCCAACCTACTTATTGTGCTAAAATTGTAACTATAAAAAGTAACATTTTTTTCTCGATTAATATAAAACATCTAGTGTTAGCTGCATCAATTTTGTGGACATATATAGTGCTAGCGACCCCTCGGCTCGGTTTCGCCCGAGACTGACTAAATGGAACACCGTAGTGTGTTGACATGTAATGTGAAACAGTTTCAGTTAGAAATTTTACATCTATTTCTGACACTTCTCAGAACAAAAATCTTCTTATTAAAAACATCTTTGTTCGCAATCCATACTGTTTATTTGGTTAAATTACAAGATGTAAAAATTAAAACAAAATATAATTATTCTGAAATGTACCGTGAGTTCCTTATGCCATGAAATAATCGTTGGCTGTAAGGAGCCGTTGTAGTTTTTCTCGTATTATTTACGAAAAGGGCTATTTTTAAAACCGTTAAGATTTTAAACTCCTAAAAAATATATACATTGAAAAAAAACTTTTTTTTTCCTTATCTCACAACTTTATTACCAGAGCAACAAAGCCCTGGAGATTAATCTTTACATTTTTTTTTGCCACAAAAATACAAATATATTTTCTACTTATTTAAGAATCTGAATTTAGATCTTTAAAGATTTAAGAGATTACTGTGAGGGTACAATGAAACACTGATCTCTCACCTAATGGATTCTTTATTTGTCGATTTTGACGCTGCTGTTTCAATCTCGATAAATTTTCTGCGTCAGTTTCTGGACGTCTAAGTGATATTGTATTTATTAGATACATTTAAAGTTTTTCTTCTAATTCACCCTCTTGCAACTTTTGGCATGCTTAAAATTTTTGTGACCCCTAAAGGCTGTTTTCTGTTAACTTTGTTAAGTTCTAATATATTTGTTGGCAAAGTAGTTCAACGTCCGATAGCCCTAAAAAAGACTGATGAGCTTCTTAAGTAAACTCTCTCTTGACTGAAGTTAACAGCAATTGTGACTACCTAAATACCTTAGGGTGATCTTCTCTGGCTTGCTGTTGAAGCCCCAGACTGATCGGAAAAAAAATTACCAAGTCCGAAGCTTTGGAGCTAGTTGTAGTACTCTTTCCCAACGTCTTCTGGTATAACATCAAAGACGTTGGTGTCTAAAGCACCTTTTTTTGCAGACTCAGTTGTTTTGATGATCTAAGATGGAGATATCGGTTCGTGATGATTGCCCGTTGGAGACTCTCGTTGGCTAAAGTTTTTTTTTTTTTTTTTTATAGCTGTTAGGTTCACCCAGCGCAGACCTTGGAGAGGATCGGGGATTCCTGGTTGAATGCTTAGAGTCGAGAGGGTAATAAGAGGTCGTCACTGGGGTTCCCAGCCTTACGACGAACAACTCCGCTCGTGACGTCTGCAAGTGAATGAATGACTTTGTTTAATAGTAGCCGGCTTTACATAGTCCTTTAATTGACGAATAACGTTTCCAGAAATGGTGGTAAAAATATATTTGTTAGCAAGGCAGTTCAAACTTAGGTGGCCCTTAAAAGAACCGATGAGATTGATGGTTATGTAGGGAACGTAAATACTTATATTGGCCCTGAAAAGGGCCAGTGGTAAAATTTCCAGTTATTCTTTATTATTATTCTTAATGATGGAGAGCCAGCTGGAGGTAGCGTGAGTCTTACCTTCGGTGTCTCTGTATACGGAGACCGTACATGAGGAAGGTACGCTGCTGACCAAAGAATATTTTGCCTTCAGGTCGTTCCCCCGATAACCAACTGCTCATAGTTAGTCGGGAAAGTGTACCTGCATAATACCTTCTCTGTATGTATACCGTTGGAATGACCACTAAGAAGTTGATCGTTGTGGCTGCTCGTACTCTTCAGGGCTGTCTTCCCTGGCTTACATTTGTAGTAAAAAATTCTCTGACGGTACCAGGCCAGATTATGGTACGGTCACATAACTCTGAAGTGTTGGAGCAAGTTGTGCTCTGGCTAGATACGTCTCCTGGTATTCCACCGGGGACAGTATCGGTTAAAATGTTTTTTTATTGGTGGCACTCACCAATCCTGGAGGTTTAGGGGTAAAAGTAGACCTAGGTCACTTGCCAATTGGAGAAGAGCGTCGTCAGTAACTGGGATACCCAGCTGCACGACTATCACCTACATTCTCGATGCAGCTCGGTGAGTTGCTAGTTAACGACGGCAGAAATTTTGAGACGCTCTGGCGTATTATAACCACTCTGGCGTATTATTTAATTGTGTTGCAGGTAGCTTCGATTTGATGTCGGCACCACCTAGTGGATCCTACTGAAATAACGTGAAAAGCTGGCGTATTTTTGCAAAACTTTGAGCTTATTTATTGTTATTGTTATTGAATTTTTCAAGATAAAAACTCTACTAAAACTATCTAGGAAGTGTCAAGAGTCGGTATGAAAAATTTCAGCAAAATCGGTTCTGTAGTTTTCGCGGTTAGCGATTACAACGGATTTAACGACTTTGCTTTATATATTAGTAAGACTGAGCAGACTCACAGGCTGTGTGAGCATGGCTTTGTACCTATATAGAGCAGGTGGAGCATTTCGTTGCTAATTAAATTGTGGTGGAGAAGTCCCTCTCAGCTTGCTTTACGAAAAAGTAAAAGTAATGTTTCTTCTTGGAAGACGAGAAAAACTTAATTTCTTACTAAAAAATAGTAAAANGCTCCATAAATTTATGTCTCACTTTTTTATTTTGATACATACTTGATATCAATCCAATCATATGTTTTGATGAATATTCCTGTAAGAAAATTATATTGTTAGTTATTTTCAATTACAAAATAAAGTAATTGGGCCGAATAATAACAATACTGCACACTGTTTTTTTTATAAATTTGCTACTATTCTTGAAAACAATCTAAACTTTTTTATACAAGGCAATATATATTAAATTCTTATGACATAACTCTTCGGACGTTTTAATTGCTTTTTGATCTTAAATAGTTTGTCAAAGGTGTAGGCTGAGTAAAGAAAGTTCAAAACTTGAACTTGTGAGCTTTCATTACCGAGCCCCCAAACTATATTAATATTTCTCTTCAGGTGATAGCAAAGTAGATTCTGAATTTCAATGTCGTATCATCAGCCTATGTTGCTACCTTTACAGTTTTTTTTATTGTTTATTAAAGCATGTGTTAAATCAGAAAAGCTCGAGATCATAGGCTCCAGGAACCATTATTATTTATTACTTTACAAATTTTAGAGTGAACTTGTAAATAACAATTAAAAAAATTTTCACCGAAACAAACAAATAATCAGTGCAAAATTGTTACATGTTGTCATTCGTGAATTGACTCTAAACTCAGTATTGTAATAAGTAATCATGGTAGCTGAGGCATTTGACTCTGGATTTTGCTGATTATAAATCTGTTGATTAAAAAAAAAAAAAAAAAAAAAAAATTACCAACATAGTAAGCTCGAATTAAGCACTATGGTAAGGTTTAGGATCCCCTTAAGCCCATGTACTTTTGTGGCCACGACGTATTTTAGACATGATAAACTGTAGAAACACTTATTTTTGGATTGCAAAATTACAACGTTGTTGTTAAAAACCTTATGGTTTTACAAGGTTAAAATAAAATAACTTATCACTGTAGATAATCGGTATTTATGCAAAAAAAATTGAACAGATTTTCAGTGGAAAGTATTAAACTCGTTAAATCATCCTATGATAATTACTTGTTAATTTTTAAGAAAGTAGTCGTTTTCCTGCTTTAAATACAAGTAAAATTTTGATGTACGATCGAAACCTTGTCAATGTGTCAAAGTCCCATAGTTGTGAAATTTATGAAGGATAGGTCCTTTGAATAAAACCGTAAATTATGGGAAAAAGCCTTGGCATAAAAAAAAAAACCCAGTTTATTAAAAAATGAGCAGAAATTAAACAATTTGTTACAATTGAGCGAACTAATGATAGAGCATGTTGATACAACAAAATTTGTTATTGACTTTGAAGAGCTAAGTTAATTAAATACAAAATAGTAATACAAACCTGATGAGATGTCAGCCATATAATTGTATGTGTGTTGGGTGCGTGATCTTGTGTATTACCACGACTCAGAGCCTTTGGTTGGTAGCACGTAGTCAATGATGATGGTGTCAAGAAGATCGCGTTGTCACGATGGTGAATTGTGACTTGGAGCCACTGATCGTTGGCGATGAGCCCTATATACAAACTACATGGTAGCGCTTTGGTGCGGTCCACGAGAATGTCCGTGAGTCCTGGGTCGCGAGCACGCGCCTCTCTTAGTATAGGCATGAATTTAAGCTAGTAGCACGAAATTAAGAGAGTGAGATGAATAAGCAAAACACGAAACAACTCGAATTAGTACGCGTGAAAGCTAATGAAGCTTAATAAAAGCACTTAGACTGACCCGTCTGTATCCCAAAGGATTCAGGAGTATATTAAATAAAAATTCGAAATGCTTTGCTTTGCGCTGACAGCGCTTGGCCACGCCCTTCCTCCCGTTTTCCGTATGTGTGTTAATGTCCATCAATTATCGACGAGCTAATTTCTGCGCTCTCTTTCTCTCTCTTTGTAGATTCTCAAAAGCGACGCGCGTGTGCCAACATAGTCCAATACAAATGTGTATTATAACCGTCACTTTTTTCAATCATAAAGAGCTATGACGGTGAATGGAATTTTCTGCGCGTACCGTATGATACAATAATTATTAACTGAACATTCGATTTTTTTATTTAATATATAAATACCATACTTTAATTTTTAGTAAGTGACACTTTAATTGATCTACGTCAACATTCAGTCTTTGGGTTTAGAGTATAGGTACACGCGGAAATGATTTGGGCTCGGTAGTGTGAAGAGTCTGTTTTTAATGGGACCTAAGGAATTAGTTGGAAAATCTAAGACAGGGGTTGATTATTGTGCGTTACTGGTAGAAAGGATTACAATCAACATCATTAATACAAATATGGTAGAAGATATTCGAAAATATCATGGTATATGGGTAAGAAAGTGAAAAAATAAAAAAAAAGTTTAAAAAAAGATTCTGTATATTTTGGACAAAATTATGAAAAAAATTCTCTTTTATAACCACAATACAAACACTATTTGTGCTCAGCATCCTCTTTGTATTTTACGATTCCTCTTTCAACAAGTTCTGGAATTTCTACTGCAATCCATGGTCCAAGCTGAAAATGGACCAAAAACATTACTACTTTATACCATAAACACATGAAGTTATGTCTCATAAAGTGTGTATATACATTTTTGGTCGTTCATTTGCTAGCAGTAATCTAAAACAGTGTTATCTTAATTAGAAGAAAAGCAATGTTAAATCACAAAACATCATACAAAAGACAACGTATATGTTATCTGGGTGATTTTTGATTTTACCATGTGTGGTTTACTACACCTATAAGTAGTAAAAGCGATTTTTTACTCTAAAGGAAATGTAGTCTTTAGTCGTTCAAGATCGTTTATTGTCACTACACTTTGCAATGGAATTTCTGACAATCTTTAAATTATTATACTATACTATGTCCCTACATGGGAAATTTTATTTGTAACTAATGTATAGTATATCATTGTGTTATCGTCATGAATTGGTCGAGGAGGCGCTTTCCGTAAAAGTTTCTGAAGAGGTCGACGTGGTTCGACAAAACGTTAATTATTCTAAAATAAAAAATGTGCTCCTTTTTTTCCAAGTTACAGTTGTTTATTTGTATGATTAAATTTAACCTGGAGATGCAAAATTGATGTTCATTTACATCATCAGATTTCTCCTAATCATATTTAAGTATTTTATCACCAGCTTAAGTAACAATGATGGAATAAATTGACATTAGTTTGCGTAAAATGATTTTCTCCATTATTCAAATATTTATTAATATTACCCTTAGGTAACCGATAGTTTTTATAAGTTTTAAAAATTTTTTGTAGCAGTAGATGGTGATGGCGCAACAGATAGTATTTTTTTTTAAAGTAAAGAAGCTATAAAATTATTTATCAAAATATAGTAACTTCATTTCATATGATTAATCTGTAGTCGTGGCAGCACAGATGGTAGCATGGACTGAAGAATTAAAAGAAATTAATAAAAATATTAAGATTATAATCGTATTTTATTTCAGTTCTAACCATGACTCCACAGTAATAGAAGATTTTACCGTTGTAATCATAACTATATATTGTATTATTGTTAACGCTCACGGGACATCTTAACCAGCTAGAGATTAATCTTCCTGTATTATATAGTTGTATGGAGCAGTCAGTTGTCTCCTCTGCAATCCTCCTACTCCCTGATGTTCTCTCACGCTTTCTTACGCAACACATGATCCCCTAGGTTTCTCTGTACATCCCCAGCTACTTTCTTATAGTTTTCCTGCAAAACGAGGTAAAATTCTTTCAATTTTTGCGTTTAAAAAAAAATGTTTTTTTTTTTCCTCCCCACGCTTTTATACGAGATTTATATAAGGTCACTTTGAGCTAATGTGAAACATCACTGAATCAGATAGATTTCGTATTTTTCCGATGTTTGTTGATACAAACTTTAGTAACTCGTTTGGTTGCACGAGTACGTGACGCTAGAGAGTTTTCACATCGAAATTTATGCACAACGTTAATCTTTTCGCTTTTTATTTTTCATTTTTAACTAAAACGGATAATGCAGTTGAATTTTTTGGTTATAATGGGATGAAAGCTTATGTTTTTAAGTTTTAGAAAAGATGATATTTTTTAGAGATATTTTTAATTTAAAGTATTCCAATTTCACAAGAGAAATTGATAATAGACCTATTACATTAATAATAAACTATCGTATAGTAGTGATATTATAATTTTTGTCACTATTGTTATTATATATACTGTATATTTATTTTTCAATTCAATATATATGTTTTTATTGATAAAATCTGCAAGATAATTGTCATTGAATAGTAACCTTCTAACCCTCTCAACCTTTTTTACTGTTAAAACAGGTATTAAAAATTATGACTATGTATAGGTGTATGTTTAGATTTAGACTATGTTTAGATAGTAAAATGGCTTTGCTAAACATATTAGAACAATATTGCTTTTGAAATAAATGAAATAAATAGCACTATTGATACTACTGAAAAGAAATTGTTTTTGTTGCCATCTATGTATATTAAAAAGGATTCACTTCTTTCGGAATTCCCCCCCCCCAAACTAATTAATGTTTTTTGCATTAAATGATAGCTTATTAACAGTAGAACAATGTCCTTAATGAATCGTAATGCAGAAATAATTTTTTTAATGCAAAAAAACATAATTGTAACTTTGAAAATTGATTTCGGAACAGTGATTTTATGCAGGAAACGTTCCTAAATACGGTAAAAATTTTAAAATACAATTCTGATTATAAAATTTATAGTAATAAAATTTAATGAAAATAATTAGCGCATTATATAATAATGACACACATTGTGACTTTAAGAAATAATAAACATTCAAACCGATAGTAAAATTATTTTCATTCTTTGCTGATACTAAAGAGATTCATGCAAAAAAACCTTTCTTTTTTTGGGAGGGGGGATTACGGAAAAGTACCAAAATACACTATACGTGACAATTTTTTAACTTATTGTTAATTACAATATTTAGCGTAACACATAATTATTAGGTACTCCAAAAATATTTGACTACATCTTAAAACAAAGCAATTTCATCAATAATCTTGTCTATGTAAGCAAATTTATTTTTTAACACATTTTACACCTCACCGTCTAGTTTATAAAGAAGCTGTAGTAATTAAAAGCTATCATTAAATCACGTTTGTTTTCGCGGAAGCTTTACAAACTATACTTATATAATATAGAAGCTGGAATTTTTTTAGTGTTTGTTTGAGCTCCGCACATTATTACAAATTTTTTACAGACGTCTGAATTATTTCAAGTCCTGAAGAAGCTATCATAATAATCAAAGTAAGAATGAAACGTTTTCTAAATAAAAAAACTGCATCTTTTGAAACTTCACAGTGATTATACACCTTCTGTAACTTAATATATATGATTTCTAATAAAATTAAAATAATAAAATATGCTTGTTGAAATAAAAATAAAAATATAGCGTTTCTAAAATAAATAACAAAAGAAAATAATTTTTCCGCCCTCGGGTGGTTTTGGGAGGCTGGTACTTCCTCGGGCGAAAAAGCAGTTTTCCGGAACTCGTTCGAAAAGTCTCCTTTACGAACCACGTTACGTCCCTCGCCTTCGGCTCGGGCCGCAAACCTCTCGGTGCGCAAACAGAGACTTTTCAAACTCGTAGGAAAACTACTATTCTTCTTCTCATTAACAGTATCAACATGAAGCTTTTTTTTTAAATTTGAATCAAGATGATACGTTCTTGCGCTAACGTAATTTTTTAAATCACGCTAACAGATGATTTATCAGAAAACCTTTCGTAGATTGCAGTAATTCTTACCGTATTTCCTAAACGTAAAGCTCTATGAGACTATCCGTCACTATTTATCTTTTTTTATTTAGTATTTCTATAAAAATGAAATCGTTATTTAAAACGTACAAAACATAAAGGTTTTGAATGCGATTCTTAAGGGTTAATTCACGATTAACATAATTACGGTAAGCATTGGTAAGAGTATCTTTATAATTATGCATATGTTTTATGCTACAAATTTTGTTATTTATGAGTAAAAAACTTATTTTTTTACTATACACAGGCTGATGGTCTAAAATAACAGAATTCTTGTAATCAAACAGATATTGTCTAGTCCAAAGAGATTTTTTTTTTATACAAATAATATTGAGGTGTACAAATTTATCCCTGGTATAGCTTCCTTCTGTATTCCAGACTCTTAGCTTCAAATCCTATTTAAAGGAAAACTAAGTTACTAAAACTTTTATTTAAAAAATCAACGCACTTGCGTTTTTTCCTGACAACAAAATTAAAAAGACATTTCAAGAAGTGTGCACTAATGAAGAAAATAACAATCCAGCAATTATCACTAAAGTGCAGTCATATTTGAATTACTACAAAATTTTTTGGATCAAATCGATCACTCTATCAATATTTTTTGTCTTTGAGATCACAACTAGAAATACAAACTATGTAGAATTATCTCATAGACAATTACAAGAAGCTAAGACCATGAAAGTTTGTATGTAAGTAATTACTAATTGGTGAACGAAAAATAATTTTTACTAGTGTGCCGGTCTTACATTTCAAGATTTACGAATTCACCATTAAGCTGATTTAATCGCCATTTTATCAAGTTTGCATTGGTTTATTTTATTATAAAAATTTATATTATTGTTATGACACTGTAAAATGTGTTAAGAAATACCTTTAAAAAATTCGTATAGACGTCTAACAGATTTTTTTGCACCAACGAAATAATACCTATTGTACAAACAATTAATTAGCGATTTTAATGTACAAAATTTAGAAAGGCATAAAACAACCCCTGGTTACAGGGAAATGGTCAGGCGAGTCTCACAAATAGCAAAAATCATGAATTATGCACAGCTTTTTAAATATTAACTTTTCACATTTTAATAAACTAAAATACTGAGATCTTTTACAAATCATGACTTTTCGAGTGTAGCTGCATTGTTGTAAGAAATGCATTGATTTTAAAAACCGTCTGTATCAGCAAATACTCCATTTTAAATTCAAAATACCCATTTAAGTTGTCAGCTAATTTATGGCAAAGTTTTTATTCATTTGTTTGCAAGAGCTTAAAAGCTCTCATACGAGTATTTCTAAATGTATCACGTTAAGGTTTTTTTTTTTTTTTTTTTATTACAATTGTTTGATACACATAGTGTGTTCAACCTTCATACATTTTTCGTTAATTTTACATGTTATACATGCCTTTGTACAAAAAATAGAGTTAGCTAATGTTTGAAATCATCCACAAAATTTAAAAGTTTTGCATGGTCCAGAATCTCTTTTTACATTATATTTAACAAAAATTTTCATAATTTTTACAGTATTTGATAATTTTTTGTAGCTTGGCAAAAATGCAAGAAGAATAAAATTTCTAATATTGAAGTTATAACAATAGCTTCAAGTTTGAAAGGTAATTTATGTAAAAAAATTGCCTTAAAAGAAGAGCAAAAAGAAAGCGATGCTTCCGATGTATCTGATGTAGAACAAGATAAGACAAGAAATATATAAGACAAACGCAAACAAGACATTACTGGTAGAG